CTTTCTGGACAAATCTTTAAGTTATTGGTCAATATATTTGCTTCCTTGGCCGTCTTGCGGGACATATTTATTATTTACTTAGCTTTTCTGTTTCGGACAATCAATCCGCAGTAAAGATTCCCCCAAAATGACACTAAGGACGGCCATAAACACCCCCAGAATCTCGGGGCACTAATATTTTTATGGGCGATCTAGCGGAGGATAGCGCCGGGTCAGTCCGGCGGCTTTCCTCTAATAGCTTCCGGACTCGATTCGTACCGGACTAGTCCGGACGTCGGTCCCATTACCGGAAGCCACGTGTTTTATTAATATTGGACGTGCACTGGCCGAATTTATGGGACAGTCGAATACGATGGTCAGGAAGTACGGAAAAAGTGGCTCGGGGATGTTCTGCCGATTTGCATAAAGAAGGGGCACTATTTTTGTTAAAAAGGCTTTTATTTTTAGTTTTCAAGTAAAACTTTTACTTTTGTTAAACTTGTTTTGACTTAATAAAGTATTAAAAAATATGTTTTTAAATTTTGTTGGATTTTTCACAATATTATTCGACTTAGTTCCCAGAATGTACTAAATAAAAATCTAAAATAAGAAATTTGTAATTTTTTACAAGCAAAAATAATGACAAGCGTAAATGAGAATAATCTATAATGACAAGGGTTAAAAAACGACAAGGTGCAAAAATAATGGCAAGGTAAAATAATAACCAGCATAAATGACAAGATAAAATAAGATAAAACAATGACAAGCTTAAATGATAACAAGATTAAAATATAATAATTATTATAAAATGATGAAAAACTAAAAAGACGATAAGTTTAAACTACACAAAGTTAAAATACCAAAATGATAAAACGACATCATTTAAAAACAATGTCGAGGTTAAATGACAAGCTAAAATAACGAGATGAAATTATAGCAAGCTAAATGACAAGATAAAATAAACAAAGCTAAAATAACGGGATGAAATTATAGCAAGCTAAATGACAAGATGACAAGATGAAATAATGAGAAGCTAAAAACGACAAGATCAAATGATGACCAGCTTAAATGACGCTACGATATAATGATGACAAGTTAAAATGACAAGATAAAATGACAACAAGATAAATTGATCGCAATTTTAAATGGCCTTAAGCTTAAAAAAAGATAAAATAATGACAAAATAAAATTATCAGAAGCTGACAAGCTAAAATAACGACACGAAGAAATGATGACATGCTTAAACGACCAGCTAATGTAAAAATAAAAAAAAAACTCAAGCTTAAAAATTAATTAATTTTAAAATTTCTTAAACAAGAATTATAAGAGCAAAAATGATGACAACCTTAAATGACGATATAATGATAATGGTTAAAAAAGCGACAAGGTCCTAAAATAATGATAAGATAAAACAATGAGAAGCTTAAATGATAACAATATAAAATTATAATAATTATTATAAAATAATGACAAACTAAAAATACGACAAGTTTAAACTACACAAAGTTAATATAACAAAATGATATAACGACATGATAATCATTTTAAAACAATGTGGACTTTTAATGACAAGCTAAAATAACAAAATGAAATTATAGCAAGCTAAATGACAAGATAAAATAATGACAAGCCAAAATAACAAGATAAAATTATAGCAAGCTAAATTACAAGATAAAATAATGACAAGCTAATAACGGCAAGATCAAATTATGACCAGCTTATATGACGATAAAATTATGACAAGCATAAATGACAACAAAATAAAATGACCATAAGCCAACGCCAAATTAAAATAACAATCTAAAATAATCAAAATCTGAAAAGCGACGACAAAATAAAAGGACGACATTCTAAAATAACGACATGCATAAATAACGACCAGCTAAAGTAAAAATTAAAAAACTCAAGCCTAAAAATTTATTAATTTTAAAATTTCTTAAACAAGAAGTATTACTCTAATAAACTCTTTATTGCTATTTCTCTAAAATTTAAAATATATCTTATAATTTTATAGTTATTAATACCATAGGGCTGAAAAGTAAGTATTTTTTTGCTGAGCTCAAAATTTTAATTGAGCAAAGCACAAAAAAAACCGTCTCAGCATAATGGCATACAAAATGTTTTCATAGTTTTATATGTTAAACAATAGTTAAAATAACAATTATTAATAGTTTAAAGTAAGGTTAGAAAGCTCCGAGCTGTCAGCAGTTATCGAAAGTGTCGAAAAAATTGTGGAAAAAACTGTATTTTCCGTTTTTTTTTTCAGGCCTTGGAAAAATTGTTTTTTTAAATATACACAGTAATCAAAAACAAATAATATTAAATATTACATTAAATTGAATTGATACAAGAAAATAAACATTAACGTTAAATATACATTCGGTTGGGTCCTTTTTGGAAGAGCCATTTCATAAAAATATCCATTTACAAAATAATGAATGATTTATAAAGTTAAACTACAAAATCATAGTTTTATAAATTGATGTGTCAAATAAATCGATAGTTATGTCAATACAGCACCGAATTTGTTTTTTTGTGACCCGGTAGAATATTCTTACTGAATTATTATATTATATTATAATAGAAATAATTATTATAATCATGTATTACATGATTAGCTATAATCAAAGTCGAAAATCACTTTTTTCTTGATATCAGTGTAAGTATATTATTCTTAAAAATTTGGAAATTTTTAGAAAAATTGAGTTTTGCATTTTTTTCGTATTACCCTTTAAATAAAATGAAAAAATGCAAAAGTTAATTTTAAATTATAGAAATGATATGATATATATAGGATGTCCCGAAAATGGCGCACTAACGTTAAATGGCTGATATTTCAAGTACTTATAAGTACTTATAGGTGTACATTTTTTTCACTTTAGACTTATAAAGAATTTTAATTTACAAAATTGGTAACGCTGTGTATTCCTAAGATGTTTTATTACATATCTAAAAAGAGTTCTTATGGAAACAAAATAAACAACGCGATGTGGAGTTAACATGGTTGACAGATCTATTTTATGACAAGTAAACCCTAAAATACTTAAAATAACCCTCTACACCCTGACATTCCGTTAGTTGGCTATTTTCCAGTATGTATACATAGGTATATAATAATAATTGTCACAACAGTTTTTATAATGAAAATAAGGTTTTGCGTTGTTTTTAGTAAAGTAAACCACTTCGCTTGTCAGTGCTTTGGCAGAAAATGAAATTGCTCAAATTTCATTTTCTCGCTGAGTATTTTAGGTGGTGCGACAGTAGAGCAGAGTGGATGTGAGCAGAGCAGAGCAGCGAGAAGAGAATGTGTTCCTGGTATCTTGCGATAGGACTGCGTCGCGAAGGATTTCGCTGAAAGCCGGGGGCCCATTTCAAAAGACTCAAAATTACTTTCGGGATAAGAGGGATTAGGCCCGAGCGGCCGCTTGTTTCTGGCGCGCTTCTACGGCATTAGACAGGCCTGGCTTCACGCGTCCAATTCCATTTCACCCTCAACGCAACTTTTTGCAGATTTCGCTGATTGAGTCCTCTCCCGGCTTTTTTACTACTGCCATAGTCGAACGGTGAATTAATTGCTTTCCACTTTAATGCCAACATATCCATTGCCATTTCTCACAAAGGTATTTCAATTTTTTTCCTATTCTTTAAGATTTTAGCTTATCTACTTAAATTATTAACCGAATTATTATTGTGTTCTACAATTATCTAGGTCAATAAATTAAATGCCGATTTTTTAAGATTGTCATCATTTTAACTTGTTTATATATATATAGGCTTGTGAATAGAAACTGGTGGGTGACTAGAAACAAGTTTGTATTATTTGCAACTTTATTAATAGTCCGGTCAAATTAGACCAAAAAATAACAGTGAAGTTACATAAATTTACAACAAGCTGAAAATCAGTAAAATTGTTCAGAATATAATTATAAATAAAATTTTAAAGTTCCCCATCATTCCCCTGTATGGAAAATTTTTTATTCAGGGTCAAAGGTCAAAAAAATGAGTTTTTTGCGATTTTTAGCAAAACGGTAAGTTTTATCATAAAAATACTTCAGACAAAAATTGTGGATCATAAAATTATCTATAAAAAATATATTAATACTTTTTTTCCTACGAGCTACCGTTTCTGAGATATAACGATTCGAAAAGTTGTAAAAGTTGTGATCGTCATAATATGCATTAGTACGCCACCTATATACATCTCTAGAGTTGTAATATATGGTAAAATATTTTTCTATCGGTCATTTTAACTTACACTTAAAACATAAAGTATACCTACATAATACAGATACCTACATAATACAAATTAGACCAAAAAATAACAAAAAATAACAGTGAAGGTACATACATTTACAACAAGCTGAAAATCAGTAAAATTGTTCAGAATATAATTATAAATAAAATTTTAAAGTTCCCCATCATTCCCCTGCATGGAAATTTTTTAATTCAAGGTCAAAAGTCAAAAAATGAGTTTTTCGCGATTTTCAGCAAAACGGTAAGTTTTATCATAAAAATACCCCAAATAAAAATTGTAGATCATAAAATTATCTATAAAAAATGTATTTATACTTTTTTTCCTACGAACCACCGTTTCTGAGATATAACGATTCGAAAAGTTGTAAAAGTTGTAATCGTCATAATATGCATGAGTACTCCACGTATATACCTCTCTAGAGTTATTATATATGTTAAAATATTTTTCTATCGGTCATTGTAACCTAAACTTAAAATATAAAATATACATAAGTTATAACTATAAGAATATCAGGTGAAATAAAATAAATTAATTAATTTATACGCCATGGTAACCTCGAGACAACATTTGTGACAGATGACAGATGACAGTTATAACTATAAGAATATCAGGTGAAATAAAATAAATTAATTAATTTATACGCCATGGTAACCTCGAGACAACATTTGTGACAGATGACAGATGACAGATACATATTAGTCTTAAGCGCCACTCTGTAGTGAAAAACGTGTTTATCGTAACGTGCTGTTTGAGTTTTATAATAAAAATGTCTGAATATTGTTTTATTTGTGCCAAACTTTTAACTGAAAGTGAAGTTGTTACTGTTGAACGTGGTATGAAGACATTAATTAATGCAAGTATTGAAAGAGCAGATGAATTTTCTGAATACCTTAAAAATCAGAAATCTGTGAGAATACATGAAAATTGTCGTAAAAATTATACACGAAAGTCGTCTATTGCTGCAGCTAATAAAAGACAACGCAAAGAACAAGAAGCCAGTACATCCACAGCTAGTCCTCCTCGTACTAGATCACGTCTCACTGATTCAGCTTTTTGTTTTAAAAAACTATGCTTATTTTGTGGCCAGGAATTGAATGAAGAGTATGAGAAAAGAAAATCCTCAGATTTTCGCCGTCGAATTAGCCAAGTAAGTACACTTCAATTTAAAGATTCAATTCTGGAAGTAGCTCGGACTCGTGACGATGCTATAGCAAAAGCTGTTCTTGCTCGAATCGAATTTGAATATGATTTAGTTGTTGCTGAAGCTAAATATCATCATGATTGCTATGTTTTTTTCTTGAAACCTTCCTCTGGAGCTAAAATCGGTCGTCCTAAAGACGAAGCTGCGAATCTGGCAATGGAGGAAATATTTACTTACATTGAAAATAGCGATGACTGTCAGTTCACTTTAAACGAATTACAAAATGTTTGCAAAACTACGACTTTAGATAACAGAACGATTAAGCTACGACTAAAACTAAAGTATGGTGATAAACTTATTATCACTGAGAAATCGGGAGCATCAACATTTATATGCTTAGTAGATAATCATCATGATGTTTTGAATGAAGCCTGGTACGAAAAAAAGAAAATGAATAAAAAAGAAGAACGATTCAGAGTCCTAGACGCAGCTGCAGCTATCATTCGCGAAGATATTCAAACCGCAGTGTTTGATAATTCTAACTACCCTCCACCAGGTCGCATGTTTGAAGATTTAAATAATGAAATCCCAGAATCGTTGACATATTTTGTGGAACGAGTGATTTTAAAGAATAAACGATCAAATTTAGATCATTTAAAATTAAAATGCACAAATATTTGCCATAGTATCATGACTGCTGTTCGACCAAGGTCTTTTAAGTCTAAATTACAATTAGGCCTCGCAGTTTTTTTTCATCGAAGGTTCGGGTCTAAACGTCTTATACAAATCTTTTCGTCTTTTGGTTTATGTGCATCTTATAATGATACAATAATGTACGAGGCAGCAGCAGTTTTTCATCGTCCTCCTCATGTCCTACCACCAGAAACTGGCACACTTATTCAATACGTTGCAGACAATGCTGATATTAATGTAAATACGCTAGACGGCAATAACACGCTCCACATAATGGGTATTATTCAAATTGTTACTCCAAAAAATTCCGTTTTACTAGAAGAACCTCTGCCACGAATAAAAGAAGCTCTTTCAGCAAATTATTTCCAGGCAAAAGCTCATGTGCCGATACAGATGTATCAAAATAACTGTGTAGTAGGTTACAGTAAAATAAATGTTAAAGATTTTGTTTATGGAACTGAAACGGTATCTTTCCTCAAAAAAGCTGATGTAGTATGGTTTTATGGGAAATGGAAAAATGCGTCTTTACTCGGTTGGAATGGTTTTATTGAACGTTTAACAAATAATTATATGAATTACTCCAAATCTCAAATTTCATTTTTACCATTTATTCACCAACCAGCCAGTAACTATAATACTATCTATACGACTTTACTTTGTGCATTAGAGAATGCAAAACGGTATGGCCACACTGTATGCATCGTGACTTTCGACCAGCCCCTGTATGCTAAAGCCCGAGAAATTGTATCAGCCGCACCTGAGGGCTCTGAAGAATCAAAAATCATCATCAGACTCGGAGGATTTCATCTACTGATGTCCTTTCTGGGAGCAATTGGTCATATTATGCAAGGAAGCGGCATAAAAGAAGTACTCGCAGAGATCTATGCGGTAAAATCATTAGAAAAAATGCTCAATGGTCATGCTTACGCAAGAGCTGTTCGAGCTCATACACTACTTCAGCTTACTTTAGCAATTATAATATTAAAAGAAGTTGAAATTAATGACATCATGGATGCAGATCTAATCATAAATATCGAGCATATATTAGATAACACTCTTTCATACAATGATATTGAAAATGATGATGAAGTATCTGCAGCTTTACTTAATAAATTGAATCAAAAACTAAAAACATATGAGGAACGAGGACCAACTGCAAAACTTTGGATTCAATATTTTCATATGGTTTCCATTGCTAAAGAGTTCCTAAGAGCTGAGCGTATGGGGGATTGGAAAGCTCATTTAAATTGCGTCAAAGAAATGCTTCCTTATTTTCACGCATCTGGACATTTTCCTTATGCAAAGTCTGCACACCTTTACTTGCAGGATATGCAACAATTACAGAATTTGATAGATCCTGAAGTTTACGAAAAATTTTCAAAAGGATTTTTCACAGTTAGACGTTCAGACAAATTAAGTTGTGGAACTTCAACGGACATGGTAATCGAGCAGTCTATGATGAAAGCTATGAAGACAGATGGAGGTATTGCTCGAGGGAGAAGTACAAAAGAGAGCGTCATAAGTAAATGGGTTTATAGTATGCATGCTATGAATACAGTTTGTGAAAAATTAGAAGATCTCGCTAATGTTAGGATGGATACGACCGAGCAACATGTTGATGCAAGTGATTCACGAATAAAAAAAGATGCTAAAGATAAACGAAAACTTTTAGAGTGGTTCTCAACGCATGATCCTTTTCCAGAGGTTAACAAAATTGTTTCAATTGCGAGTGGTATCGTTGGTGATGATAAAATTAATTGTTATAAAGCTCGTGAAGTTGGACTTGCTTCTATGGCAAAAATGACAGGACTGACATTCAATAATATTAAATTAAAACGCGCTGACAAAGTTGTTCCTCTTTTAGCTATGACTAGTACCATAAAAGTTCATGAAGAAAAAGTACCTGTTGATCCAGTATTATTGTTCCAACGCATGAGTATTACTGCAGCATTTCAAGATGAAATAGAAAAATATTTTGAATATGAATTAGCTCCCTACCCTTTATCGTTGTTTGATGACATCGGGATGCGTAAAACACAGAAGTCTGCCATTTACGATTGTTTTGAAAATGTAAATATTGATATTAACCACACTAATGCGACATACATCATTGACGGAGGATACTTACTACACCGCGTTGTGTGGGATAGCGAAGAAACATTCAACGTTATCTTAGATAAATACGTTCAGTATGTACGTCGACATTTTGGTTCCACAGTTACTGTCGTATTTGATGGCTATAATGATTGCACGAGAAATATCAAAGCTGCAGAACAACGTCGTCGAACTTTAGCAACATCTTCATCTTCTGATATTTTATTTGATGAACTTATGACAGTTCCAACCACTCAACAGAAATTTCTTACAAATACTCACAACAAGTCTAGGTTCATTTCAATGTTGAAAGAAAAGTTTAGTGCTGAAAATATATTGGTAAAACAAGCTAATAATGATGCTGATGTATTGATTATTGAAACAGCAATAGAGCAATTCAATTTGACAAATACAACGATTGTTGTTGGTGAAGATGTAGACTTACTCGTATTACTCACTGCTCGAACTCCAACTGAAAAAACTATTTTTTTCTTAAAACCAGGAAAAGCTCAACATCAATCGAAAATATATTCATCAAAAAGTTTATCTACTTTTGCAAAGTGTCAAAATCATGTACTATTTTTACACGCAATAACTGGCTGTGATACTACATCTGCATTTTACAGGAGGGGTAAAATAACAGTTTTCAAAATGTTTGAAAAACAAGATTTAGTTCAATGTGCTGAAGTTTTTAAAAACAGTAATTCAACTCGACAAGAAGTTATCACCAACGGCATTCGCTTTCTTCTTTCTATGTACGGAGCTCCTAAAAAAACTACCTGCTTTGATAAGTATCGATATGAATGTTTCGTTAGAAATACTAAAAGTAAAAAACAAGTTCAATTATCTTGTCTTCCCCCAACCTCAGTTGCTGCTCATCAACATCTTTTTCGGGTATATTACCAAGTTCAAGTGTGGCTTGGTTATCAGCTAGACCCTACAGACTGGGGTTGGAAGTTGGTCAACAACACATTAGAACCAGTTCAAACTTTACTCCCACCTGCGCCGGATAAACTGCTGAACACTATTTTTTGCAACTGCAAAAAGGGCTGCAGTGCTAAATGTGGTTGCAAAAAAATCGGACTGTTTTGTTCTCTGGCATGTACGAATTGTGAAGGCCGGTCGTGCTCTAATGTTGAATCACCAACAGTGGAGGATTCATTTGATTCCAACGAGGTGACATGCGATACATCGCTATTGACGCAATTTACTTGTACCCAGGATGAAGATGAAAAAGAAGAAGAACAAGAACAAGAAGAACAAGAAGAAGAAGAACAAGAACAAGAAGAAGAATTTAAATGTTACGAATCAGACGAATAAACCTCACTACTTTTTTTAAATTTACATCGCTTTTATCTTTTCCAATCTTTCCAATTTCCGTTATTATGCAATAGTTTAAAATTAAACAGGATCACAACTGACCCGTGGAATAGGCCTACTGGGGAAACCACGTTAAAAAAATGCGCTAAGTACACTACCTCATAGGTGGCGTGGAAACGTGTGCATATTATGACGATTATATCTTTTACAACTTTTCGAATCGTTATATCTCAGAAACGGTGGCTCGTAGAAAAAAAAGTATTAATACATTTTTTATAGATAATTTTATGATCTACAATTTTTGTCTGGGGTATTTTTATGATAAAAATTACCGTTTTGCTGAAAATCGCGAAAAAATATTTTTTTTGACCTTTGACCTTGAATAAAAATTTTTCCATACAGGGGAATTATGGGGAACTTTCAAATTTTATTTATAATCATATTCTAAACAATTTTACTGATTTTCAGCTTGTTGTAAATTTATGTAACTTCGAATGTCTAGATTGACCGGACTATAAAATGAAATAGTCAAAATTCTACTATTTGAATTAGTAATAGCATTTTTTACTAATAAAATAGTTGTTTTCACTTTTAAATAGTTATTTTTTATTACTTAAATAGTTAAAGTTTGGCTAATTTAAGATAAGTCACCATCTTTGACTATTTCTGAGAGTTAAAAGTAACTATTTTCTTCGTTTGCGGCCAACAACAAATTATTGTTTGAGTTAAATGCATATGCTCTATGGTTAAATGGCCCATAAAAACAAACAAGGATGCAAAAAGTTTAGCTTAAAACAGCAGCACAAAAAATATATTCAACTTTAAAATATTGTTAACAACATTTATTGACAAATAAAATTGATTTTTATAAAAGTGACTTATGGCACATTGGTTATGACATCAGCTTGACAAGCGACAGACCCGAGTTTAAACCCCGGCTGGGTCAGAACTTTTTTAAATTTAAATCTAATAATTTGACTATTTCATTCTGTAGAATTTGTCTAATTATAATTAGGACCAATTTTAAAGCTTTTTACTTAATGATTTTTAAACAAATCTTCTCTCTTAAAATTAATAAGTCATATTTGACTTCACTAATAATTATTAGTGAAGTCAAATATGACTTATTAATTTTAAGAGAGAAGATTTGTTTAAAAATCATTAAGTAAAAAGCTTTAAAATTGGTCCTAATATACCTTATTCATAATATGTTAAGAATCAGTGGCGTAGTAAAAAAAATAAATTAGAGAGTCAAACTCTGTTAACAATTTATTTTAACATTTAACTAATTTTTGGGAATAAGAAGAAAAATGTTACACAATAGAAGAAAAAAATTATGACAATAGTAAAAATAAAAAACAGGTCAAGTCAATATTTTTGATATTTTTTTTGCATTATATTATCTTTGATTGTTTTTTAACGGTAAAGAAAATAGGAATAAGAATGTCTGAAATCACAGGGACCATGTTTAAAAGAATATCTCTGCAGAGATATGTGACATTTGTTGTTTTTGTATGGTTTAAATTGTTACCTTACCATGGATACTTTTATTCTACCAAAATTTTTAGAAATGGTTCAATTTATCGAAATTCGAGTTCTATTCGAACTACTGGAAGCAGACGCGGATACAGGGGGGCAAATGGGTGCAATATCCCCACTTGACTTACGACCAAAACACTTTATTATGACCAATTTCAAAACTTTGAAATCGTCATCACTACCTGTTTATATGAATCCTTATAAAGTATAGTGATTAACTAATCACTATAGTAATTAACTAATCACTATAGTGATTAACTAATCACTATAGTGATTGACTCATCACTATAGAGATTAACATCACTAAATAGTGAACCTTACTTTTTTACATCTTGGTTTTTTTTAAGACAGACAATCTGTTTTTCAAATTTGATTTGATTTGATTTGATTTGATTTGATTTGATTTGATTTGATTTGATTTGATTTGATTTGATTTGATTTGATTTGATTTGATTTGATTTGATTTGATTTGATTTGATTTGATTTGATTTGATTTGATTTGATTTGATTTGATTTGATTTGATTTGATTTGATTTGATTTGATTTGATTTGATTTGATTTGATTTGATTTGATTTGATTTGATTTGATTTGATTTGATTTGATTTGATTTGATTTGATTTGATTTGATTTGATTTGATTTGATTTGATTTGATTTGATTTGATTTGATTTGATTTGATTTGATTTGATTTGATTTGATTTGATTTGATTTGATTTGATTTGATTTGATTTGATTTGATTTGATTTGATTTGATTTGATTTGATTTGATTTGATTTGATTTGATTTGATTTGATTTGATTTGATTTGATTTGATTTGATTTGATTTGATTTGATTTGATTTGATTTGATTTGATTTGATTTGATTTGATTTGATTTGATTTGATTTGATTTGATTTGATTTGATTTGATTTGATTTGATTTGATTTGATTTGATTTGATTTGATTTGATTTGATTTGATTTGATTTGATTTGATTTGATTTGATTTGATTTGATTTGATTTGATTTGATTTGATTTGATTTGATTTTATTTGATTTGATTTGATTTGATTTGATTTGATTTGATTTGATTTGATTTGATTTGATTTGATTTGATTTGATTTGATTTGATTTGATTTGATTTGATTTGATTTGATTTGATTTGATTTGATTTGATTTGATTTGATTTGATTTGATTTGATTTGATTTGATTTGATTTGATTTGATTTGATTTGATTTGATTTGATTTGATTTGATTTGATTTGATTTGATTTGATTTGATTTGATTTGATTTGATTTGATTTGATTTGATTTGATTTGATTTGATTTGATTTGATTTGATTTGATTTGATTTGATTTGATTTGATTTGATTTGATTTGATTTGATTTGATTTGATTTGATTTGATTTGATTTGATTTGATTTGATTTGATTTGATTTGATTTGATTTGATTTGATTTGATTTGATTTGATGATTCAAGGAAAAACATTGTCATGTTAAGAGCTAGGTATCCTACCATTAGAGCGTACGCGATATACTTTATATTAAACAAAACTTATTTTTATAGTTCGCGCGCGATTATCTTTGAAACGCTTACATTTTTCGAAAAAACAAAAGATGAGTTAATTTCCAACAAAAATATGTACAACTCATTTCAAAATCCGAACTATTCTGCAAGTTATAAAATATTTTTTTTTTACTTTTCAAACCTTGACCTAAGAAATCTTTTGAATGGATAAGTTTACGAAAAAAAACATATTTTTTCTTTTTTGTAGAGCATTTAATTTCCCATTAAAATATGTATTAGGCTTAGCTTTATATTTATTTATTAGGAAGATACAAAATATTTTTCATCAGGAAATGGGAATTTCAATGAGGCGACAGTCACGTTAGAGCCACATTCCAATACCCACTTAAATATATTTTTGGCTGATGACAATCCAAATTAATATGGACCTAAAATGAGTCAAGCTTAAATGACGGCTAGCAAAAATAACATCAAGACAATATGTTGAAAAGCTAAAATGATGACAATCTTAAATGCGACAAGCTTAAATGATGACAATGTTAAAATTCAACTAGCTGAAATGCAATTAGTAAAAGGTGACACATACTATATGCAATGCATATACTATTAAATCTTTTAAACAATTAACCATGAGCGGGCTCAGGATTTTGAGGCATTTTTCCAAAGATATATGCTTATAAAATATAAATATATACAAATAAATCGAATCTTGTTTTTTCTGATCCTGAAGGGAGATAGTTCGGGACCCGAAAATCCCCCGTGGATCTGCTAATGCCCTCAACATTAAAAGTATACTTCGATATGTATATGACAGTGGCGTTAGTGTATAGATATAATGCAAACCTAACAAGCAATAAGTAGATAAAATCGTCGATGTTAGTGACCGCGGTAATCGTTGGCAAGCACTAGCAGATGTAAACACACTCGAGAAAATTGAAAGTAAATGTACAGCCCTTAGAATAAACAACACTTTGTCAATTAGCGACAGTAACAGACAACGACAACGACAACTTTTGCTAAGAGTCCATGTCGTTGTTTGGGTTCGCGTGCCTCAGGCTCCCCCCTTTTCTTGTCGTTAGTCGTTATTTTTGTACTATCTAAGTGCTCATAACTAATGTAAAACATGCATCGATTGGATATTATATCAGTGTAATGCAACAAGGAATACAAATCACAGTTTTTATTGCATTGTTTTGTAGATTTTCTAAATAGGAAAATTTAAGTGACGCAGCTCATCTGAAATTCAAGCATCATGCATGTAAGTAAGTAAATTTAAGAGGGTGGCAATACAGATGGAGCAGATTGTTTAGTACAATAAGCGTTTATATTAGATTACATGAAGGTTAAATTACGTATCAAATAACGTGTCTGAAAACGCTTTTATGTTCATGTAAACTCCACGAAACTTCAAGATAGTAATATGAGAAGCTAGTACTAAAAATTTAAATTTGAATCTTTCAGTAATTACCCTTAAAAATGCCTTTGTGGTCATCACATTTTTACTTCATTTCTTCGCATGGCTTCTAATTTATCTTTTGTAACTACTGAAATTAATTTCAGCCAGCCACATCTATTACCTCGCGCGACGTCAATGCAGAGCTCATAAATTATGCAGGCTATAGGCTATTAAATCTGCTTCTGGACGGATGGAATCAATCATTCGAATATCTACGAATCACACGTGATGACTTCTCGTTAGCGTTGCTTGTTTTAAACTCGGCTACGCTTTAAAAATGTTTAACCATTTGACTTGTGAATCGATAAAAGTTTTATTGACCATATTAAAATCAACAGAGTCAAATTTGGACATTTATTTGTGTTTATGAAATCAACTCTTAATATTTTAATTTTAATTAATAAAAGAGAAAGTTTGTATTTGGTAGTATCTGTATCATTTTACAGGTCAATTTTATTTTGACATCGGAAAAATTCCGAACTGGATAGAATTTGGATATGGTATTTCCGACGGTCTAGAAGATGGAATGCCAAATTCCCATTTCTCTCCCTTGGGCGCTTTCCCCCTTTTTGAAAGAACAAAAATGAATTGTTTTATCTCGTTATATATCTCTAAAACAGAAACTTTCGCCTGTAACAATTAAGGAGCTACTCAGTAAAAGTTTTTGCGTTTTCAGGAATAGTTGCAATTATGCTAAAACTAACTTTTTTTCGCAAACTTCAATTTAAATTCTGCTTGCCCAGAACTTGTCTATATAATGTCATTATAAATTTATATAAATTTGATGTCCCATGTCTAATAACTGCTGAGATATGGGTGTGCCCAAAATCCACCAGCCGCCACTGGCCATCACCCTCTGTTTTTTTTTTCTAACCTCAAAAACATAGTGCTCTTTTTTTTAGTTCCACCATTACTCCCTAAGAAGTCCCAGAAGCCAATTGAATGGCTTGAGCGGGTTAGGGGTAGGAACGGACCGCGGGCTTAAAGTCCCCTCCGAAGAACTAATATACAATAGGACAAACAGCCATACCCCTGGTGGGATTCGAAACCACGACCTCCGGCTTGTAGTCAGCAGCACTAACCACCAGTCCACCGTCGGCGGTAGTTTTTTCGGCTATTTGTTTATTGTAAAACTACGCGTTTTTTTTTATTTCGACCTTAAAAAGTAATAATTACATAGAAATGTGCAGCTGGGCCCAATACTTTGCGGTGGGGGAGGGGCTGTATAAAGTACAATACCGTAAAAACGCCGAAACAAGTGGATGCAGTCAATTTCTATGGATTCGTGATACCTATATCACGAAAAATTAACAAAAATCTCGATTTTGGATTAGAAAGAAAATAAAACCTAATTACAAAATTCTGGGCTCGGATTTAAATTTATCGACACAAAATGCATAGAAACTGACAATAACACACATGCGTAAAATAAAACAATACATGAGTAAAAGTGGGACACCCTACTAGGTAGTCTATAATTTATCGGATTTCATTAATTCCTACTGATTGTAGCTTTATTATCCCTATCAAATTAGTATAACATAACATTTTGTCAATACAAAAATGTTCCTTTTTAGTATTGTTTTCATCTCAAAAATCAACTTAGATTTTTAAAATATTTTTAATGGACGTTGGTTTTCATATTGTTATATTTTTGCTAGCATATGTGTTAATAGAACAGCATAAGAAGTTAAATTAAGACCAATTTTCAGGCTGTTTATTTAAGTTTTACATTACCTTGAGAATTAAAATATATGCTGCATTCCACGGACGTAGCGAAGGTTCCGAGTATGTGGGGCCATATCCATTAAATTTTATTAAATTTTTTTTAAATTTTTAATCTTAAAATATAAAGGAATTCTTTAGATTGATGCATAATTATTCAAAATAAAAATCCCAAAGGCATTGCTATTTATTCGACTGCTTATAACATTCGCAAAAAAATAAATTTGCCTGAAGATTAATTCCGTTAAATGTGGTACTTTTCAAAAGTTACGTTCGTAAAATTTGTTCTGTTATCAGGGGTATCAAGTATCGATAATTTAGCTTGAAAGAATATTGCCTAAAAAATGCATGAGTTCATTTTCATATTTTGGATAGAGTCCGACACCAAAGATGGAGGGCTCTTTCCTCAAAATATGAAAATTACCGAATGCATTTTTTAAAAGTCAATATGCTTGAATGCAATATTATTTGATTATTTTTATGCACGAGTGTAATTTGTTTAGATAATTACACGAATAAACTAATTAAATCAAAGAATATCATTTTCAAAAATTTTTTGTTGTTTGCAGTATTTTTTGGTACACTATTTTTCACATTTTCATTAATTGATTCAAATGATTCTTTACCTCTTAGGTACCTCTTTACCTTTAAATAACAGTCATATTAACATAAAAACTGACGTTATTTTTATTAATATGTATATGTAGATAGAATGGAATTATGGAATTCCTAGTAGACAATTATCGCTGTAGTCAAGCGATAATTGTCTAGACGTCTTGTAGGCATATATAAGAGGGTAATTATCGGGGGTAATTAAACAAGTGCTTAAAAATTATCGATAATTTTGCTTGAAAGGATATTTCCTAAAAAATGCATGAGTTCATTTTCATATTTTGAGGAAAGAGCCGAAGGTGGAGGGCTCTTTTCTCAAAATATGAAAATGACAATATGCTTAAATGCAAAATAATCTGATTATTTTTATGCACGAGTGTAATTGGTTTAGATAATTACACGAATAAACTAATTAAATCAAAGGATATAATTTTCAAATATTTTAATTTCAACACAAAACAAATACATAAAATGTAAACTAAAAACATTTATAATAATGAAAAACGTGACATTTTAAATAACTGTCACATTAAAATAAAAACTGATGTTATTTTTATTAATTGCCATGGATACGTAGATACAATGGAATTATCGATTCCTAGTAGACAATTATCGTAAGTAATATCATAAGGGCATCTAATTTTTTCGAAAAAAATCGAAAAAACACGTTGCTAAGTAATATTTTAACAAGAAGCATGAGTGCTGGTGGCAACAAAAATTTTTGCACCTGCACGAATGCATTTTGTTAAAAAATATTACTTAGCATTGTGTTTTTTCGATTTTTTTTCACAGGAAAAATTAGATGCCCGAATGGTATTTGACAAGACTATTTCATGAGTAACAGTTAACAATTAAAATATAAATTTCAATTTTTGGTGAAATCAGCTGTCAAGTTTTGCCGCGGGTAAACTCGAAAAAACTGCTGACAGGTGCTGTCATAAAGTTTTTCCACCTAGAAACCATTTGTAATTCAAAATTGCGCGTTTGTTATTGGTGGAAATTAAGACGAGAGAAATAGTCGCTGTAATTAAGCGATAATTGTCTTGTAGGCATATATAAGAGGGTAATTATCTATTAAATTATTAAACATGACGATAACGCTTTATTCAAGTCTTCATTATTTAAATATTCGACTGAAACATTGCTTCATTGGAAGTCCCAATTTGGAACTATTGGAATATCAGAATCTCGGAAAATGCCAACATTGGAAAACTCCCCTTGCTACGTCCCTGCTGCCTTCAAATCTTAAGAATACTACCTGTTTAACTAATATTGCAATCATCAAAACCGGGTAATACGCTAGTTTTAGAATTTTAAACATGTTATTATTTTATTTGCTGAAACCAAAGCATTCAAAATTTAATTTAAATAATTGTTTAGTTTTAAATTAAAATAAATCCCCGTTTCACGTTACATTTTTTTAAGAGCAACAAAAAATTAAAACTGGTAATCATTTTAATATGCTGTTGCTAAAGATTGTCATCTTTGTCATATTTTTTTAAGCTACTTTATATTTTATTTAGACATTTTAGCTAATCATTATAATATAACAATCCTTAATACACCAAGCTTAAATAATCACATAAACGTAATCATTTTACCTTGTCGCCATTTTGTCTTGTATTTCTAAATTAAAACAAAAAACTTATGAAATATTTTTTGAACAATAGGCTCAATCAAGTGAATAACAAATCGTCGTAATTAATTCGTGTGATAAATTTGGTCTAAGTGTTGTGGTTAGAGGGCATAATGAGAGTTATTAGTCCAGGTAACGAGTTAATGCCCGGGATGACCGACCAGCAGTCAGGAACCATGTCATTACCGACCAAAAATGTAATTTTTCTCCATCAATCATAATTAAATAACTAACATTTCATCTCGCTCGCTTCGGTGGTATGCGTTAGGCAGCCCAGTATCTTGTGCCATCCCCATCAGAGCGAGCTGTGAGAGATAATTGTAAGGCACGATGATGATGATGATGATGATTCAATGACTTGCATTTAGAACAAGATAAATTCTCCGGCTTCTTTGGATTCTGAGTGGACGCGCGGACAGTAGGACGAATGAAAGACGGCACTGTTCTCAAAACAGGTATTTAATTCCCAACTTGATCGACATTTATGTCAAATTATAATTTTAATTATTGAACGGAGAAAATGTATTAAGTCGATGGCAATTTAAAAATGTTTTTGTATGAAGAGGAAGCCTAAATTATGTGTGTTTTAAATTACTGTAACATTTTCATTACAGGCACAAATAAATATCAAACACAAATTACATCGCAATACTTTTGCAAATACCTTAAATATTGTATGATAATTACATAACCTTATTGTGTGGGTAGTACGAAACAGAAGCTTATTATCTTTTCTGTAGTGCTTTTTAAATTTGAGTACACGCATAGAAGGTTGCTGATAAAACAGTTCTAAACTATATATGACTGTCTTCCTTGGAAGGACAATATAGAACTCCCAGCACAAAAATAGGCTGGTAAGTACTAAAATCGCATAATCGATAAAAGATTGATCAGTTTACAAAGAATTTCCAAGAGGGATGGTTAAAATAATTGTTGAAATAAATATATCTTTGCATAGAGCCTTGTTGTGCCTAGATAAAAATAAAACAGTAACATTAATGTATAGAAATTATTAGTGCAAGAACCAATTGGAAAATGATATTATAAGATGGAAATGAAAAATAATGAACAATCGAAAGACAATATTAAAAGATATTAATATTTATTAAATATAATTGATTATTTCCCTCATTATAATATGAACCAATCAAAAGCCTTGAATTTTGAATAAATTTCGTTTAAATAAGCGATTAAATCAATAGAACTATTTAACAGCGATTAAATTTTAGCCTCCATATTGGATTTTTGTTTACGATTTTATGGTGTTATTTTCAAGTTTTAAAAAATATTTTTTAAAAAACA